AAGGTTTTCAATTTGACATAATTTCATCTGTTTATTCTCTTTTTTTTCTTTTTTGTATTTTAGTTCAGGGTCTACAGGGTCTACATAGTCTCACTACATAGATCAGACTCATATCGATCCACCTCTGTTCAGCCTCCCACAAGCTGGGATTACAGGTGCACACCACCACACCCAGTCTCAATCACCATCTCAGCATGGCTCAGAGGCCAGGCAGCATAAACAGGCACTGTAACCCACTGAGCTATTTGGCCAACCCATCCTTTTATTCTTGACATATTTCTTATGCAGTTGAGATTCTGCTCAGGTAGTCCTTGCCTAAACCTGTGACCTCTGGAATTTTATCCACTTTAGCTTCTAGTAGGTTAAGCATTTCTGTTTCAGTATTTAGGTCTTTGATCTGTTTGGATTTTAGTTTAGAACATGGTGAGAAATATAAATCTAACTTTAATCCTCTGTGTGCCAAATTCCCTTACACTATTTGCTAAAGAGGCTGTCTTTCCTCTTCCATAAGTTTCTGGCCCATTTGTCAAAAATAAGATGGCTGCATGTGTCTGGAGATGTTTCTGGGTCTCCTCTTCTTTTCCACTCATCTAAATACCTGCCTTTGTGCCTGTGCTGTTTGTATCGCTGTGGCTTTGTAACATCCCTTGAAGTCTGGGATCGCTAGGCCACCTGCTTTGTTCATCTAGACTAGCTATTCTGGGTCTCTTCTGGTTGGCTGCACTGAATTTGATTGTTTTCTCTACTTCTGTGGGGAATATTGTTGGTATTTCTCTTGATATTTCATTAAATCTGCATATCAGCTTTGCAAATACAATCATTTCCACAATATTTATCCTATCTAGCCAGAAGCAGGGAATATCACTCCATTTTCTGATGTCTTATTTGACCTGCTCTTTAAAAGTTCTGTAGTTTTCAATATGGAGGTCTTGCACTTCCTTGAGCAGGTTAATTCCTAACTATTCAATTGTTCTTAATGCCATTACAACTGGCATTGTGTTGTCGTAATTTCTTTCTTTCTTTCTTTCTTTCTTTCTTTCTTTCTTTCTTTCTTTCTTTCTTTCTTTCTTTCTTTCTTTCTTTTTTCTTTCTTTCTTTCTTTCTTCCTTCCTTCCTTCCTTCTTTCTTTCTTTCTTTCTTTCTTCCTTCCTTCCTTCCTTTCTTT